CGGCGCTGTCGCCCCGCAGGAGGAGCTGCCGCTGCCCCTGGAGCACTTCCTGCAGAGGATGGCCCGGAGACCCCGACCCCAGCAGTTCTTCGGCCTCATGGGCAAGCGGGATGCCGGTGAGCGGGGCGGGGGGCTCGGTCCTTCGCCTGCCTCTCTGCGCCCATCTCCTCCCAGCGCTGATCCAGCCGCCACGGTGGCTCTCACTCGGGTTCAGCGCCCTACACCTTCCTCAAAAGTCGCGATGGGGGTGGTTTGGTCTTGAGTTTAGTTGGGGGTTTTTTTGTTTTGTTTTGGGTTTTTTTTTTGGGGGGGGGGGGTTTGTTTTGGTTTTTTTTTTTTCAGGTTTAATACTAGATAAACTCACTGTTTGGAAAAAAGTGGGTTTCACATTAAAGTGCTAAGTGCACATCAATTATAGCATGTAAATACCAATGAAGAGCATCACGATAATTCATGAGTCTGTGTATGTGCCACTGAATTGCCCGAATGTGCAAATCAGTTATGTATACAATTATTGTCATGCTTTCTACATGTTTACTGATCCAATAATTGATCTAAGAAATGGTAGCTAAACAGATCTAAATTGTGTGGGTTTAGCTAAAACAAGTTTTTGTCTCTCCAAAGAGAAATGCAGTTGCAGATGATCACCTTCACTTCCCCTAAGTGGAATATGCGTAGGGTAGCTTCTGTATTTGGTTCTTCAAAGCATTGCAGTAGAATCATATGTATATGCCAATCCTTTTTCAACAACTCTTTTTCCCTTTCTTGTCTCTTTTCTTTCCTCTCCCTGTCAGGATATGGCCAGATCTCTCACAAAAGTAAGTTAAAAAAATCCAAATATTTTAAGTCATTATTAGATCTTCAAGCAGGCAATAATGTGTTTGAGGAAATTAGTTAGAAAGTGATGGGGTTCAGCTGAGGACTGACAGCACTAGTGGTGGAGAAATGTTCTGTTAAAGGACTGAAGCCCCCCAGTGCAGCTGTGAGCCTGTACCTCATCTGGGTCTCCACAAGCTTTGAGATTTCAATCCTTGTTGATGTGTGGATGTTGCAGCTCTCTCTTATTTCCCATGGGGGGAATTCTGCAAGCCTTTCTCATAGACAAGGCAGGCTTACTGCCAGACTTGGAGAGAAGCAATTAAGACAGCAAAATCTGGAAAATTAGACTAGTGAATTCCCAAATCCCCAAGAATGATTCCACAGGAGAGCCCATGTCATCACATGCGAGATACTTTATCTTGCTCTTAGCATTGTCTGGGTGGGAATCGGAGCCCTGCTCACAGTGGGGGCTGATTGATGATGTGCTGCCATATGAACAAGCACATCTTACCCCAGTAATAAGTGTGCCTTGCTTTGCTTCTGTTTAACACCAAGGAGGAGATGGTGTCAGCAGTGTGGTGTTACCTTGTTCTGCACAGTGATAGTTTTATTCTCTAAATTTATCTGACAATGCTTAGACAGGAGCTGGGCAACTTTTAACAAGTAAAAATGATCTTGTATTCTATGAGACCTCCTCGGTCACAGAGGTCAATAACTGTCCTTGTGTTCTGTCAGCTACAAGATTTTCTCACTAGGATTATGTATTGGAAGACCAATTAAAGAGTCCAGTACAAAGCTCATGCCAAATAACCTGCTGACTAAAGTAAAAAATTAGAGCTTTCTGAAACTGCTTCAGCTTGAATTAATATCTGTGGGGTTCAAGGATCATTCATCTTGCTTTATAGATTAATTAGCCAAGCAAAATTCTTTCCAGAGAGAAATTTCTTAAGTTTGCCTCAAAAGTCTGCTTAGAGAAAGAAGAATGGCTCCTTTTCGTTCCTTATCTGAAACTATAGCTACCACTATATCTGATGCATGCTGTAGACCAAAACTTGGAGTAATTTATCCTCTACACATCCAGAGGAGTACTAATGGGACAGAAAAGTAATATCTGAACTCATAAATATTCCAAAAATAGAGCCAGACTGTCTAGCTCAGACGTGTCCAGACAGAGTCCCATTGGCTTCCTCTCCAGTAAGGGCTCTCCGTGACCTGCGAGGAAGATTTTTCTTCCACATTACAGAAAAAAACATCAACAGGTAGAAAAGATGCACCACACAGATGCAGGCTATACCGAGACACTGCCTTGTGCATTTGCTCGAATCAATAGGAATTGTACTGGAAGAGGAATAAGGATCAGTTATTGGCCATTGTTTTTCCATTATACTTAAAAAAACCACAAAACAAAACAAAAAGTCTGTCTGAGTTAATGAGAAGATGTCCACTAATTGGCCTGTGCCTTGGTCTAACCTGTTTAGTCTGATTAGTCAAACTGATGTTCATTCTCCATTGCTTGAGAGTGGTATAAACAACTGGTCTGTGAGATGAACAGTTTTGGAGCCTGTGTCTTCCTTCCTTATGAGAACACGTTATCTTAAAAGCCTGCCTATTTAAAATGTATTAAAACACCCCCAAATGTATTTTTTCAGGGCATAAAACAGACTCCTTTGTTGGACTTATGGGCAAAAGATCTTTAAATTCTGGTATGTATATGACTAAATCTGGTACTCGGTGATATACAGTCTCTTCCTTCTGTTGCGTCTTTGTTCTCTCCCAGCAGATGGAAGAAGCGGTCTTTATGTAATGTACACCCAGAGTTCTCTGAAAAAGGACCAGGATTTTCTATGTTAACCAAGATATCTCAGGATCTGCTTCACTGCAATACTTCAGATGATCAGGCTGGTCTGAGCTGCAGGCAGGTCAGGTAGAAGTCCCCAGGGCACTTTCCTTACTGCCCTGTCCTCACCAGCAGCGTGTTCTACTGGTCCCCAAAGTGCTAATATAAGAAAAAACTAGATTTTACTGACACATTCAGAAAAAAGCAGAGGCTGAAAATGTAAAGCTCATTTAAACTTGTGATCCGTATCCAGATCTCCCCAGGCAAAGGGATATTCTCATCATCTCTGGAGATCACTATTCCTCAAACTTGGAGCAGAAAGTGGAAGAGCAGAGATCTGCCATTAACACTACTTCATTCTGCAGGTCAAGCTGTTAAACATTCCCAGCCTCTTCCAGCTTTTCATTTTACCTTGCAATAAGCATTTAAGCTTTGAACTGGTCCTGTGAATGTCTGTTATTTTCCCATAGCATCTATATGGGGCAGAATCCTCCTCCCTCATTGGCACAACCCCTGTGGGTGTCTGCAGACTGCCAGTAGCTCTGGCTTCCCTGTGCTATAGGGCTGTACCAAGGAAATCCCTCACTGTGAACCATAAAGCGTCAGTTAATTCCCTAGAATAGGAATTAAAAAAAAATATTAAACTTAATACATATTTCATGTCTCTGAAATAGTTCTCACGGTTTTGTTAAATGGATGATAAAAGTTAAATTACTAGCTGACACCTTTATATTATGTGGATACACGCTGTGATCTATATTCTACAATTATGGTTGTCAGTAACTTTTATTTTCAATTAAACCCTGTTCAGACTAATAACATTGCTCTCTGCATCATTTTGCAAATTGCTATGTATCATGAATAATTTTCTCCTATTTTATCTGTGGTGGCAATAGCTATTAAATGCATAATACCTGTAAATATATCTGCTATCACAAAAGTAAATAGCCTGTAAGTAATAGCTTTGGTTTGGTTTGGTTTCCATTGGGATTACATTTACATTAATATGAGAATGTAAAAAACAGCAAATGTTTTAAAAAGGCAAATATTTTAGTGCCCTGATTTCAAAATTGCTGCTATAGTCAGGATACTGTTATGTGGCATTTGTAACAAAGGGGAATAATGAAGTTTCACTTTGCCGAGCTATGTAATACCCACCTGACAGGTAAGGCTAGAATTCACTGCTTTTCTGCCTAATTCCCTGAGAGGAAAATGTAAGCAGTTGCTTCTGCTCCTCTGGAGGAGAAGATAGGTCCTAAGGACTGTGTAATCAAAGCAAGATGAGGCATACGTGCTAGGGCTGTCCTTACTTCTCCCTACTGAAAGATATTTAACTGGGCAGGACCTTTTCTTGGTGCGGTGGTTTTCTTCTTCTGCAGAAAACCCCCGAGTCCCCTGGCAGTGGGTGGGAGTTCACACCACCCTGCTGCTGGCTGTGAGTGTGGTGCTGGTTTAAAGCCTCGTGTGACAAAGCAGAGCAGTGGGATGTGGGTGTCTCAGTCCCTGGTTCAGTCAAACAGGGTCTGACACTGACTGTCTCCCAAGATGTGCAGGACGTCGGATGAACGCTCCACGTAGAAGCGAGAAAACGGTCACACATACAGTAAAGATACTATAACAATCCATACTGAGAAAGAAAGCTCAACTCATTTTGCAGTTAGCCTGGTGAAAATTGAAGTCTTGTTAATTTAAAACTGTCACTGATGCAAAATACCAGCTCCCCGCAGGATGCGGTGCTGAATCCCCCTGGACGAGTTGTGCGTTGCACGCAATAGTCAGGCACGCATATGCTCTGTGAAAGCAATCCTCCCTTTGGGCTTGAGGCAAAGATGACTCTGGTGACCAGCTGTGTCACCCTGTGGCCAGGCTTTGCCCACAAAGGGCTCTCTGTGTTTCCCTCTCATTTTTAAAAAAGCAAGGAGAGATCTGCTGCTACTAAATGCTAACTATCTTACTGAAGAGTATTTTAGGCTGTGGTTGGTCCGCAGGGTAGTCTGAGATTTGCTTAGCTCCTGCTGCAGACTTTAGTGAAAGATGTCCCTGTGAAAGGACCAGGAGGGTTTAAAGAGCTGACTCTGCAGGACAGAAGGTAGACAAGGCAGAAAGCCTCTACCCACAGATTGATCTGAGCGCTCAGATCCCATCAGCTAGATGGATTACTGGAAGGTAAAAAGGCTCTGGGTTAATGGTGTTTCAAGCAGCTCAATAGATCAGAGGTGGAAGGCACTGCCCAGACCGTCAGCCTCCTGGAGGATAGTGTAGTCTGAGGGGTAAAACCAAATCAAAACAGCTCAGAGCTGTGTCAGGATCCCTCATCTTGGGTCCAAATGCTCTGACAGCATCCAGCAGTGGCCCAGCAGGCTGCAGGTCCCTCACGTTTCCTTGTGCTTATTGGGTTTTACGCAAGGTTGTACCATGAGCTTCATTCTGCTTTGTTTTTTGCAGGATCCTCTGAAAGGAGCATAGCACAGAATTATGAACGGAGGCGTAAATGAGGCATTCCCATACATTATTTATTAAACTTCGTTTGTTCCAATGGCCAATGCAGTGTAATATAAACTAACCACTATACGGAATAATTATTTATTTAATAATAACCAATGGGGTTGGTTTTGGGTTTTTTGAGTTGTACATTCAATAAAATTATTATTTTTCATATTGTGGCAGTGATACATGTTGTGTAGGTGCGTTGTGGTTCTGAAAGGACCAGCAACCCTGGTGATGTCTCACAACAAAGCACATTGTTTGATATGACCCATAAAGTTATGTTCACTAAACAAAGAGAATATTCTTTTGTTTGTTGAAAATGAGTCTATCAGCTTCACAGTCCATACAGAACAGAGCTGACGTACAGTCTAGTGCCTCAATTTGTTTTCATGGTTTATAATGTACTGTAATTTCCGTATCAAGAAATATATTTGTATCATTGCAGCATGTTTTATGTTTTGTGACTACGTATCTATATATTTTAAAAAGGGGGGGTGGGTAAGGTTTGAGTGTGAATCTGAGGTCTTTGTTTCATAGACTGGAATTTTATGATAGTAACATTTTAAATAAAAACTATTCTGGGGATTTTGCAACATACTTTCTTTGGTGATAGTGGTAGCATTATTTCCCAAATCAGTCTGGAATGACTCTGATCCAAGTGACAGTGGTCTGAGACTGGAAAGAAATATCAAATTCATGTGTTCCTTTTGCACGGAGGCTGTGAGCCTCCTCGTGCAGGTTTGGTGAATGCTTTGGGGGATTTGCTACAGGAGACAGGCATCCCTGGGATTGCTCTGGGTCACTCAAGGTGCCGTCCGTCCTAAACCAAATGTTTATCAAGAAGTGTGTTGACTGAATGAAAAGGGACTGATGTATCCCCTAGCTCCAAGTGGAATAATTTTCTGTGGAACTCATCCATGATTGCAGGTTTATTATTTGAAAGCCAAGCTTTTAATAAATTCTAGCTCTCAGATTTACAATAAAAGCACCTGTTGGCTCGAATTCATGCAATATAAGAGAAAAAAATGTGAGTGTAATTATCTTTTTAATTAAAATGTCTAGTTACTCTATTTCCAGGACAGTCCCAAAATGCTACATACATCTCACCAGATGCTAGGGCATCTGGAGATCTGTATTCTTTCCACTGGCTCAAACGTATGGTTCTCAGTTTGATGCTACCATATGAACTTTCATCACAGATGAATCAGTGAAAACAGCCAGCATATACAAACCAAATTTCAAAATAAATAATACAGAGTGATTAACTGGTTGTCATTTTCCATTTCTGAATTGAACTCGGCAACCTCCATTTTCAGTTTTACCTGGAGCATCCCCACAACCCTACCCATTAAGAGTGGGTGGGCGTAGAACCTCCCTCCTGCTCGGTTAAGGGCAGCACCTCAGCCTGCCCGTGCTTAAAACAGACCCCGCTTCCAACTAAGTACGAGCCGGCTCTAGCGAGGTGGGGAGCTACATGGTGGGAAAACTGAGGCAGACTCATGATGGGCACTGTGCTCGTGTGAGACACGGGGGTTTTACTGCTGCTCTGCCAGCTCTTTGTCTTGCCAGGGCTAATTTTCAGACTAATAAGCTTCTGCATCAGCTCCCACTGAGCTCAATGAGGGGGCAAGCTGATTGCTGGGCTAACAGCGTGGCAAAAGGAGTGCAGAAATGCATGTTGAAAAATGCTCAGTGAAGGGTAAAAAGAAAGAAAAAGCCTTAAAATGATGTCCCCTGAGCCTGGAGGCTCATGGTGCTCCCAGAGCTCACAGCCTGTGTACTGAGTTGTGAGACGGAGAGAGGAAAGAAAAAGCCCTGCTGCTTGCTCCCTGCAGCCTGTGCATCTCACAAACCTCCCTGCAGAAGCAACTACTGCAAACACTTGCTTCCAGAGAAAGCCACACAAGACAAAGCAGGTTTTAGCTGTTTTAAGGACACCACAGATACTAGTTAACAGCACCCAGCAAAGGGCTGGGACTGAATTTTCTGTCAAAATCATAGAATCATTTGGGTTGGAAGGGACCTTTAAAGATCATTTAGTCCAAGCCCTCACCCTATCTTTCACTAGATCAAGTTGTTCAAAGCCCTGTCCAACCTGACTTCAAACAATTCCAGGGATAAGGCATCCACAACTTCTCTGGGCAACCTGTTACAGTGTCTGACCACTGTCATCGTAAAAAATCTACCTTCTTTCAGTTCAAAACAATTGTTCCTTGTCCTGCCTCTGCAGACCGTGGTAAAAAATCTCTCTCCACCTTTCTTTTAAGCCTCCTTTTTATATTGAAGGACCTCAGTAAGGTCTCCCTGGAGCCTTCTCTTCTCCAGGCTGAACAACCCCAACTCTCTTAGCGTGTCCTCATAGGAGAGGTGCTCCAGCCCTCCGATCATTTTTGTGCCACTCCTCTGGACCTGCTCCAACAGGTCCACATCTTTCCTGTGCTGAGGACTCCAGAACTGGACACAGTACTACAGGTGGGGTCTCACCAGGGCAGAGTAGAGGGGCAGAATCACCTCCCTTGATCTGCTGGCCATGCTTCTCTTGATGCAGCCAAGGATACGGTTGACCTTCTGGGCTGCAAGTGCACATTGCCGGCTCATGTTCAGCTTTTCATCCACCAGCACCCCCAAGTCCTCCTCAGGGCTGCTCTCAATGCCTTAATCTCCCAGCCTGTATTGGTCCTGGGGATTGCCCCAACCCATGTGCAGGACCTTGTGCTTGGCCTTGTTGAACCTCACGGGCCCACTTCTTGAGTTTGTCCAGGTCCCTCTGGATGGCATCCTGTCCCTCAGGTATATCAACTGCATCACCACCATTTTTTCTAGAAGGAAAAGTTGACCCTCAGGCATCAAAATATTCTCCTGTTAGGTGGCTGTCTGATGAGTGGGTTTAATTTGGTATTTGAAACAACTCATTGTAATTTCTGATGGCAAAATAATTTCAGATTTCCACTAATTTAGGTTTTGAACAATAAGATTAAAATTGTCATTGATTTATGTATTTGTGCAGACATACATTCCAAGCTAGAAATAAACCAAACACACACGAAAAGGCACAGCCTGAAATGTTCCAATTAACTCTACCAACAATACAAAACAGCTCTCGTCATATTTCAGTACTGGGGACCATTTGGGCGAGCTGTGCCACGTCGGGGCAGGGCACACAGGGAGGCACATGAACTATGCATGCCCACAGGCATCCAGTCCTCCATTGCCCATGCCCACATGCATCCAGTCCACCATTGCCCATCCCCACTGTGGGCTCGATCCTGCCACCCTCCTAGCCCAAACATTTGTCCTTACAGGCATCCTGGGGTCCCCACGAGGCAACCAGGAACTCTTACTCTCACATCTCTTTTCAGGATTTAGTATTAAGTGATATACTCTATGCATTATTGAGTATTTCAAAAGGACTTTTTAATCATTTCTGTGGTCTTTAATCTCCCTTTTGAGGCTCTTTCAGCTTTTAAACGCTTTTATGCGTTGAACAGTATTGCTTGCAGCCCTGGGCCACTGGCACCTTGGCTTGCAGGGCAATGCCAGCTCTCCAGCTCCACTGCAGGCTTTGGAGAGGCTTTCACTAAATCCCCTGCCTCTCTGCCACATCCAGCCATGACCACAACACAGACTTATCTCTTCTTTGATAGCAACAGTCTGACATCCCTCAGGCTGTGTAAGCTAATCAATAAAACTGCAGTAAGGGCATTTGTCAGTGAAATGCAGGTGAGCTTTAAATAAAGTAATAAAAATCTTCCTAAGAAATCAGCACAGAGTAAACCTGGGGTGATGCTGGTAATTGTCCTCACTGGAGAGGTGCTACAGGTAGTTTGACACCACAGCCTGCCACCAACATGCTCTGCCCCCTTTTTGCTTCTCTTTTCCCCAAGAAATACATCATTCATCTGCATCATGACAGGCAGCTGCTCTTCTGGTAGGCACTGACTCACTCCCACACACAGACACTCCCCTTCCCTGAGATGGGGGATGCTGAAGTCTGGCTCACAGCAGCCTGCCTTGTCCAAGTGTGACCCAGAGAACCATCAGTTCCATCCATCATCTCCATCTCTCTGCTGTTGCATGAAGACTGGTCCTCCATGGTGCAGATGCAGCCAAACTTACCCTGGGGAGCCAGAGCCATTGCACACATAGCCTCCCCATGAACCTGGGAGCTGGGAGAGGTGTCTGGACCCCGGCCCACACCTCACCAGGTGTTGGCCCTTTAAGAGCCAAAGCTGCAGGTGGCTTCAGCCTTGAGCAATTAATTCCTTACTTTGAGTGAAAAATAAAACAAAGCAGACTCACAAGAAAGAATGTGAGACAAGATAAGGGAAGAGACTTGTGTGCTGTAATCAGTAACTAGTCAGAAGTAAAAGAATGGCTCATGAACAGGTGGATTTATCAAATCAAGTATTGTAACCAGGCATGTGAACAGTAGCTTTTAGCCAATAAAGACTTGTTTATGTGTGTGTGTGTGTGTGTGTTAGCAGCTTAAGAGTATATAAGTGATCGTGTAACCAATAATAAATGTCTACAGTGGGATTCACATTGAATCGTGTGGAGTCCACGTGTCATCCCTCTCGCAGCCAGGGAGCTCAGGCTCTGCAGCGCTTGCCCACTGGGCTGCCACGAGCAAGTCCTTTGCTGTGTTCACATCAGGAGGCTGATATTTTCAGCATAGTCCTAACCAAATGAAAAGAAAGAATCTGGAAATGTCGGGGCATGGAGATCTTTGTGGGGAACCCAGGCTCCAGCCATCATTAGCTAGAGCAGAACAACATCAAGAGTTTTTTTTTAAATTATTAAAGTTATTCTTAAAAATGCAGTTTATTCAGAGTATGCCAGTAGCAGCTCCTTCAGAGCTACCAAAAGCTATTATTTAAATACAGACCTTTTTCCTGTACCTTCTTAAACTACAGCTTAGATAACTAGTTTAGCATAAAGAGATACTGAGCAAGTTGCTGTGCAAACTTCGTTAATGACCAAATTTTTCCATGATTAGCCTGAACAGTTG